GGCTTTGTGTTATAATCTGACAGTACAAATTGAATAGAAAAGCAGTAATATTGTTTCATCCTTTTCTATATTAAATTTCAGATGAATGAACACATTCAAAAGTATGGTGTTATAAGAGCACCATCTTGTGGCATTGTGCTGTTTATATTGTTGAAACAGAACTTGGGGAAAAGGGAACAATGCCAAGCAATCAGGATATGATTATGATTTTAAGAAATTAAATTTCTTAGATTTTAAGTAATAGTGGAGGAACGACCATTGTCCTCTCTCATCTGCAATCTTTCAGGCAGACCCTCGAGTTGTATGAACTGGGCTTAACAAACTTCCCAGCTAGATAGAGGACATGGAAATGCTAAACTCTGGGAGTCAGATAACACTCCAGCATGAACCTTGGTAAAGGCAAGCAAGGCTTTAGTGCTAATATGTGAATACAGTATTTACTCCAGTGAAATATGACAAGGAGAACGCTCACAAAAGACCAATGCATATGAATACATTGAGATTTTAGCAGAAACCCTAGAACATAATCTCCACCATCATAAGTGATAACAGATCTACTACGGAGCTGCCAAACCTGAACTTTCTTCATTAAAGTCCTCAATGAAGTAGCATTTGCCACTAAATGGTACCAGTTGGTCCCAGCACCGTGTTAGGGGGCCAGGAGTGACTCTGAGAAGTCAGACTGCTCACTGGCTTAACCGGAGAAGCCACGTAAAGGAAGTCATTTTGGAGACTAGCTCCCAGTAGAGACCACGTGTGACCAGGTTCAGCTCAAGTGCCCTTCTGAATGTGGTCATGTGTTCTTGTCACAACTTGAACCACCTAAGGGATCTTTTGACATAAAATTTATTTAGATTCAATCCATAAAACATATAGGGTCTCCCTGGATGCCAGAATACAAACAAAGAAGTTTTAGGAAGCTTTAAGCCAGTACTATGATTTTCTGTAAAAAAAAATGAATCATTAAAAAAAAAATACCGCATCACAGTCACCATGAAAATAGTAACATCTATAAGTTACTCATTATACTCCTTCTGTAGCAGACTTAAAATAGTCCATTTTGGTGATCATACTAGTCCCAAACCTATTTTGGTCTGGGAGTATGTGTTCTTTATTCAGAGACATTCTACACAGATGCAGGACGGCTTAGCCTCCTGTACTTAACATTAGTGTTGATTCCAGGCCGAGAAATTATACATCTCAGAGTCCTGGGGAAGCCTTGACCTTCTTAATATTAATTAGTATAGCTAACTGAAGGTTGTGGTGAAAGACTTCTGTTCATCTTTCTCTTGTCCAAGGCTCCTAGAAAGGTGTGCCCACTTTGTATGAGTTGTCTATTGTTGCATAAGGAATCTTCCTCAAACTTTGGGGCTTAAAACAAAAAAGTTATGATCTGGGGTGGGCGCAGGAATTTGGGAGCAGCTTAGTTGGGTGACTCAGTTTGTACTCAGGATGTTGACAGGGACTGAAGTCTGAAGGCTGGACTGGAGCTGGAGGACCTGCTTTCAAGAAAACTCACAGACTTGGCAATTGGGAGGAAGCCGTTTGGCATTTTACAGAGACCTCGGTTCCCCACAGTGTGGGCCTTTCTATAAGCTGCTCACAATGGACTTTGCCCCAGTGGGTGATGAGAGAGAGAAAGGGAGGTGGAAATCACCATGTCTTTTATAACCTAGTCTTGGAAGTGACACGCCATCACTTCTGCTGTGTTCTATTAGTCATGTAAACCAAACCTGAGGCAGTGTAGGAGATTACACACAGTTGTAAATACCAAGAGGTTGGCATTATTGGGGGATATTTTAAAGGCTATTCTATTCAACACTTTGCTGGAGGTTTAAGACAGTATAATATGGCAAGAAAAAGAAATAAAAGGCATATAGACTGTAATGGAAGAAATAAAACTGTCTTTACTTTCAGAAGACACTGATCATCTACATAGAAAATCCGATAACTAATTGAGTTTAGCAAGGTTGTAAGCCACAAGTTCAATCAATTACATTTCAATATATTAACAATAATCAAAAATTGAAATTAAAGACACCATTTACAATAGCATTAAAATATAAAACATTTAGGAATAAATCTGACATAAGATGTGCAAAACATGACGCTTAAAAGACAAAACATCGCTAACAGAAATTTAAAAAAATGTAAATAAATGGAATAACTACTGCGTACACAGGTTGGAAAACTCAATGTTGTTGAGATGACAATTCTCTCCTCCTAACCTAATCCAATAGATTAATAGGTTCATTGCAATCTCAATCAAAATCCCATTATGTATTTTTGTAGAAATTGTCAAGTTAATTATAAAATTTATGTAGAAATGCAAAGGACCTACGATAAACAACTTAGAAAATATTTTTTGTGAAATAAAAGAAAAAAGGACTGTCACTACTTCATTTTAAGACATAAAGCTAGTTATCAAGGCAGTGTGGTTTTGGAGTTAGAGAGACAAACAGGTCAATTAAACAGAATAGAGTCCTGAAATAGTCCCCCACGTTTATGTAAAACTGATTTTTGACCAAGATGAAAAGTCGTTTCAGTAAAGAAAGGATATGTCAACAAATGATGCTGGAACAAGCGGACACTCATTTCAGTCGATACCTCCCACTATGTTCCAAATGTAAACTGCAAGTGGATCATAGACCTAAATGTTAAATTTAAAACTATAAAGCTTCTAGAAGAAAACATAGGAGAAAGATATATATGCTCTTAGGATAGGCAAATTTCTGAGATGTAACACCAAAAGCATGATGTATTAAAGACAAATAATTGATAATTTATACTTGATCAAAAATAAAAACTCTTCCAAAGACACTAGGAAAATGAAAGACAAGACACACCCTGATAAAGCACTTGTACTCAGAGTATATACTCTCACATATCAATAATAACACACACACACACAAATCATTTGATAGACACTTGCCTAAAGAAAATGTATGATGGCAAATAACAATGCCAAACATCATTAGTCATTAGGGAGATGTAAATTAAAACCATGACATACTGCTACATACACATTAAAATGGCTAAAATTAAAGACAGACTATACCAAGTGCTGATGACCACATGAAATAAATGGGATGCTCATACACTGCTGGTGAGAATGTAAAATGGTACAGCCACTTTGGAAACATTTTGGTATTTTCTTAAAAAGTTAAACATACACTGACCATATAATCCAAAAATACCACTACTAGATATTTACCAAGAGAAATGAAAGAACACCACTTGCAAAGACTCATATACAAATGATTACAGCACCTTCATTTCTAATAGCAAAAAACTGGGCAAAAAATCCAAACGTCCAACTACCAGGGTGAACATACATATGAACAAACTGGTATATCCAATAGTATATTGCTTAAGAAACAGGGATGAACTACTGGTACACACAAAATGGATGAATCTCAAAGTAATGTTCTTTGAAAGTAGTCAGACAAGTAACACATAATTATTTCATTTATACAAAATTCTAGGAGAGGCAAACTAGTCTACAGTGACAGATCAGTGATTGCCTGGGGACTAACAGGAGGGATTACAAATAAGCAGGAAAAACCCGGTGGATGATGGTAATATTCATTACCTTCGTTCCAGCAATAATGATGGCTTCATGCACGCATATGTCAAAACATCAAATTATACACTTTAATATTTTTTGTCTGTCAATTTTACATCAACAAAGCTTAAGCAAACCTGTGTTAATTTTATTGGAGGTTCTACTCCATTAGACAAAAGACACACCCACAAACCCACTTGAGATAAATCCTCTTAGGTTTCTGCTGAGATCAAGGGCAAAGCCCTTAAGCTTCTGTGAGGACCTACTGACTGAGAGCACCTGTGTGGCCCACCTTTAAGTCTATGCCTTTGGTAGATCTGAATTAAAACTCTTTAATTCCTCCATATCCGTAATTGAAACCAAAATATATTCAACTTTAGAATTGAGGAATAAAAAAAAAAAGTCCTTATCCTGGGCTCTTATTAGCACAAAAGCTCTGATTGCAGTCAAAGACAACATTTTATTCTACATACTATTTTTAATCTTTCTAGTATAGTTTTATATATTTCTTTTGTGGCTGTTTAAGCCATACAGTTTAACTGGCTTAGTGATGAATGAATTAATACACCAGTATTCCTCAAAGAGTGTTTTATGGTCCTCCTGTATTGAACCATCCTGAGATGCTTATTTCAAGATCCAACTACACAACTACTAGGATACTGGGTGGGGAGAAAACTGGAATAGAGCCTGGAACAGAGCCTGGTAATCTCACAAGGTCCTCAGATAAGGAGACAAAGACCCACTCAATGCCTTCACACATACCAGGCAGTGTCCTACAGCTTCTTACTTCAGCTGTTTCTAGGTTTAAAATGTTTAAATAAAAGACTCGCATTATTTATTAAGCTTGTAACAATTTTATTCATAACAGGAGAAAAATTTATTTACATGTATATACAAAAGAGACATTTATTTTCTTACTCTGGCACATAAAAAATACAGAAATATTTACATATGTACAAAATATTAAAACATACAAACCTTACGAAAAACGAAAAGCAAGATTTCACAAAAGATACTTTTTTGGGAAATACACACACTGAAAAAGAGGTTCAAGAAAGGTGACAAAACATTTAAATTAACAGACACCAGAAGCTGATATTTCAATAGGTATTATTAATTTGGTAAAGCAAATAAAATGTCTCAAATGCTAATGGATGGTAAAGAAGATTTACATTTAAGATTGTCCAGGTAAAATTACATGGTCCTCCTTTACCATAAAATCGAGACAATTTTATTTTACCTCTGAATCACAATCATCAGAAAAAGTTTTTCTTAAAATATTTAAATTTTCTGATTTAGATTGAGAATTTTGAATTTTTTCACATTAAATTGTAAAATATTTTAAGAGTTTGTGTATCCTCTCTTCTCACTGAGGGGAAAAAAACCCATGTACTACACTGATTTCAACATAAAATTGAACATCATAGTACATTTATTTTTTTAAGTTAAAACCTAACATCTTCTAACTAACCTTCAAGATCACTTACAACTGATTTATTAAGAGATCACAGTCGTCGTAAATTCTTCTTGCTTTTCTTAGTACCAGGCAAAGGACCCATTTTATAACTGGCTTTTAGGGGCTTGCCATTTGAACAGTCTTCAGTGGTATGATAATTACACAGGCACCTTGTGCAATAATCAAATCCACAGCCTTCTCGTTTACAGGTTGCCCGTTGTAAATAACAATCGTATTTTGCAGGTGAATTACAGCGAATACAGGCTTTGAGGCTCTCATTCTTTTTCAAAGTTCTGGCAGCCTAGAAAGAAGAAAATCCATAAACAAATTTTAGTAAGGACTGAATGTAATTTAGTTACTCAAAACAAGTGTACCTCTGTGCCTTCCCCAATACACGTATAAAGCACTAATGTCACAACTCCCGCCTTTAAGGAGCTTTCTGTTCAACAGGTGAGAAACCACTGTCAACTGATCCAGTGGCTATTTCCTAATGCTACAAACATGCTCTTATTCATAAATGCTACTCACACATCAATGCAGAACTTAAACGTCACCTTTTCTGTGAAATCTTCCTGGAGTCACTCAGGAGTTGGTTGCTCCTTCACCTCTAGTTCTACTTTTTTAAAAACACCTATCACATTATATGGCATTTATCTTTATATTGCTATGAAGGTTACCATGTTTCCATATCTATGCGGTGTCTGATAAAATTGACTTCTTGCTTAGCTCTCTTCATCAGTTATTAAAGGCAGTAATTGTGAAACGTAGTATTTAACAGTTTTATAAATAAAACTTCAAAATCAAGGTTTTTCCTTATTCTCTTTGTGTTTCCAAATTAGATCTCAACAACACTGAACTGTCATAAACAATGCCAAATGATATCTATTATTTTCGGCCTAGAAAGACATCTCTGTGTACTTCCCTAATTTGATTAGTTGAGTTATAAATGGTTTTCTTACTCTAAATCCTTTTAACAATAAATGTCCCATATGCTTCTAATTTATTAATAAACAAAAAATTACCTCAGAGAATTCACTGTGTCGACTGTAAGTAGAACCTTTCTGATCACCTGGATCAGGTAACTTGGTTCGAGCTTCTTTTTTGGGGAGAGTCTGGGTGGCTGACTTTTGCACAGATACTAATGGGGTTCTGAATAAAACATAGTCTCTGGTTGAAGCGTGTGGTGAAAACTTAATGTTCTTTTCCTAATTAAAAAAAAAAGTTTTAATAGGATTAAAAAATATTCTCCTATATTCTCAACAATCAGGAATTTTTATTATGTTTGTACATGTTGTACATGTAAAAGGGGCAAATGAGAATATAAAGGATTTATTCCTGCATCCAAATTACCTGCATGTGCTTAAACACATGCAGCCACCCACAAATATTCACACATTTAAGGCCTAACAACTAAGCTGTTGAGTGAAACTGCAAATCAGAAATTGTGAGAAAGCGTTTTACACTCTTAGTATGTAGCATTTAACACATGATTTATAAAGCACTACCACTAGAACAAAAGGTCATTCTCCCCATCCACCAGTAGATGGCAACAGTCACTGTTTAAGTGTCCCCTCAGTGCTATGAATGGATCCAAAACAATCTTTTGGAATAGAAAAGTTTCCATTAACACCAGCTTATACATAAAGAAACTGAACTTGGAGAATTTAAGCATTGCTTGTCTAAAGCTATACAGCTAGTAAGCAGCAGCACCAAAATCTGGACCTAAGTCGGCCAGCTCCTAGGCCTGAAATTTTAATGTGTTGATCTTTATTCTCAGAAACATCTCCGAAGTTACTAAGTATTTGGTAAAGTAAATGAATTCCTTTCCTGCATTAAGAATCTTCAATATGTAGATAATTACTGTTTATTTGTTAACAGCTAAACTACAAATGGCAACCAAGCTATATGGTCAACTCTCACTGAGATCTGAGTAGTTTTCCCTTTATCTTCGGACATTTCCTTTCATGGAGAACCCAAGAAATAAACGACTGGGTTGGGATCCCATCCCCTTTATCTTTGAATTATTTTAATGAGTTATGAATGTAAAGGATTTCCAGATCATCTGTTATCCTTGCTATTTCCCCCTCCAATTTCAAAGGTAAAGAGCACTAGCTGTTATATTTTAAAATTAAAACAACTGCAAGACTTACGGTAATTCTTTGTATTGCTTTATTGTACAATTGCAATGCCCCCTTATCATCTTCTAGAATCTTCTTCCAAGTTGTGCTCACTTTAGACACACTGGAAAAGTAAATGATTATAAAGGAAACAATTAAAGCACCACAAGGAGCTAAGATGACTATATTACAGAAACATTAACAGTGCAAAAAAGAAATTTCTATTAGCAGTGCTTCTCAAACCCGGCTATACATTAGAATTGCCTGAGGTACGCACTTAAGATTTAAGGATGGGGCTTCCCTGGTGGCGCAGTGGTTGAGATTCCGCCTGCCGACGCAGGGGACACGGGCTCGTGCCCCGGTCCAGGAAGATTCCACATGCCCCGGAGCAGCTGGGCCCGTGAACCATGGCCACTGAGCCTGCGCGTCCGGAGCCTGTGCTCCGCAACGAGAGAGGCCACAACAGTGAGAAAGATTTAAGGATGGCCCATGCCTAGTCACTTGGGTTTAACTGATCTAAAATGGGGGCCAGGGCGCTGTATTTATTTAAAAGCTCGCCATCAAGTAATCCTAAGTGGATCCAGGCTTAAGAACCCTACACTTTGTACTTCATTTTCTCACAATATCCACAAATATCAAATAAGAAGCCCCACTGTATATATGGCACCATCTTGGTTATTTATTAACATTAGACAAATTTCAAAGAACTTGAGGACACACTGCTATTAGTAGAAATCAATTTAAAAACTCCATTTTGCTAACAAAAATGTTGTGAGGTTGATTATCCCTCAAGAAGCTAGCCAATAATAAAAATCAATCCTTACTTATGTCTGTTTTGCTTCACCTATATTTCATGGACCAGTGTAAAGTAACACAAAGAGTACCTCTAAAAAATTTTTCAAAAAGCCAAAAATGAACTCAGTTGAGCTGGAAGCAATCTAATCCAATAGTCTGGATAATCATCTTAATTCTCAGTTACCTCATCCTAACAGGTTTTCTTTGGTGGAATGTGAAAGGGTGGTCAGTATAAGGTTTCTAAGAAATAGTAATAATCAGACCCATTTGTGGGTTTCTGTATTTTCATCACTCTCAAATTTGAAAATGGCCTAAAAAGAACAGAAATTATTTCATACTTTCAAGTGTGGCAAAAATCATAATGCCTATTGGACCTGTACACCAGACCTAGGCTCTTGTTTTATAGTTAAGACTAAAAGATGGAGTTTACGTATGAACAATTTCAGAACCAAAAGGAACAAAGATCCCAATCTCACAGAACTAGTTTTCTAATAGCATAAATATGAAATTTGAAATAACTGGATTAAATGCATACTTTAAAAATTATCTTTCTTTCCTCCTAGTGACACATAAATAGTAAAATACCAGCAACCAGACAAAAGTCATCACTTCAATTAAAAACAGTGCACGACTACCGTACTATGTCTTTGCATGAGTTGGTGGTACTGAGCCATCTAACAAAAATGTTCATGGATTATATTAATGACCACAAAGCAACAATACTTACTTGATTAAGTCCATATCACTGAGCTGTGTCAAAATATTTCCTAAGAGATGTTTGAGTCCCCTTCGAAAGAGTTCACTGAGAATATCTACACAGTCTAGGCCCATTTTCCTGCCAATTATATTCTGTAGTCTAAAATTTCCACTGGATATAAATTCCTTGAGCTTCTCCCAATCTATTTTAGGATTTCGTTTACAATTTTTTTTTAATGTTGAACAAACCACTTTTTCAAAATGAAGAGCCGGCAGCAAGTTTTTGTTGGGATATTGGTCTGGGCTTTGTGTCCGTAGCAGGCAAGATTGTGGACTGTCACTGAAATTTTCCACCAGGGGAAGGCTACTGTCTTCATGTTCATTGAGGCCACTTTGCTGGGAAAATGAAGAGTAGCCACTGTCTTCATAAGGTCCGCTGGTCTCTAGTTCTTCTATGTCATTTGAACTATTAAGTGTTTGCTGTACATGTAGATTTTCCTTATTATGCAAGGGCTTGCTCTCAGTTTCAAGTTCTACAATCCTGGGGCTCACAATCGGTGACCCAATATCTGATAACCTTTCATAGTCTTTAATGAAGTCTTTATAAGAACCTTCCAAATTCGCAGTAGTGTAGGAACCTTGTCTTCTACTGTCATCAGGCTTTACCGGTTTAATTCCAGAATGAACATGGTTATAGTTAAAATCACACTTCATTTTGACAGAGACAGTGGAACTTTCTTCTTTACAACCTACAAAAAGAACATAACATATTTACTTCCTAATGGCAAAATTTCCACATATCCCTACTTCTAAATTTGGGATATAGAGACTTAATTACTTTGCATTCTCTCAGCACTGGGTACTGCCTATGTAGCTGTGAAATTGTCCAAGTTTAATATGAGAAAACATTACTAAAACCTTATAAAAGTATATACATCTTACTCTTGAGGGGGTACCTTCAGTACAGACTGCTTTTAAATCTGTATAACTCTACCATCTGACTTTTAGAGTCATATCTGAGTGGAAAGTAGTGACAAAAGGGACTATTTAATAAATATCCGTGCTTATGGAACAAATAAGGAAATGTGATGCACCATGAGCAGGGTATGAGATAAGAAATATCCTTATAGAAATCAAATACTTCTAGAGAAATATGGTCAAGACAGTGGAGGAGGGGAATGCCAAAATAGTTTTGATAAAAGTAGCAAAAAAATTTGTATATTTAAATGTTAGTTTAGCAATTATTATAAGCCTTACAATAATGAATCAAGAAATCTATAGGTAGCTTGGAGAAAGGACTGAAAAGGCAATAAATTTAATCATTTGAATGTTAACCATACTACTGAGTTTTTGGGCCAGATAATTTTGCTGGGGGCTGTCCTGTGCACTGTAGTATGTTTAGCAACTTTTAGCCATTTGATGCCATTAGCAGCCACTATTCCCCAGTCAGGACAATAAAAAATGTCTCCAGTAACCACTTATTGGAGTGTGGGGAAGCCAGCAGAGGCCAAATTTCCCCCATTCCTTAGGTGAGAACCACTGCTTTAAAGGATGATTAGAATTTCTGTCAGGCAGTAGAGACTGGGAAGGAATGGGTTCAAGAAAATTGCTTAGCATTTCTGAAGGCAGAGTATATGGATGGTATGCGCTTCTAATGTACTCCCCCATCTACTATACCCCCTGCAAACCAATCACAGGTAGGTAAAAATTTACCCTATAAGTAAACGTAGGTACGTAAGTACAGCATCCGTTCATATTAATTTTACTGTTTTTACTTAGAACCTCCAAGTACTAAAGGACACCTTGATAGCAAGTAACCTTGTAGGTAGAGACACTCTTTTAATTAGGTTTAAACTAAGAGTTCAGGGGCATAAAAGTAAATAAACCCCCAATTAACCCTAACTCTAGAACAAATTATACTGAGTGGTTCTCTTCTACTCAGAAGAGTAAAAAATTCCAAGAGATTTTTATTTTTGCCTCAAGTAAAGAATTAAGTATGATTTACACAAGACTACATTTTCTCTGAGAGGATAAAAAAGAAGCCACCAACAAAGACACACCTTTTACTTTGTTTAGTTGCCTAAAGGGAAGAGGCCTGAAACTGTACTTCAGAAACTCAAAATTCTTTTCAAAAGCATTCTTCCTCTGCTGTCTTTAGAACTTAGTTACTGGGAGACTATCCTATAGAACCCCTTTCATCCAACATTGTTCTTTGGATCTGGACAGTTCTTTAAATTTAGAGCTAATAATGATTCAACTACCTTATTAAGTGTTTAGAAGTTAATTTCCAGTGTGTTTCCAAACACTTGATTCTCACAACCTTTTGAGGTAGAATGGAGAGGCATTATTATTTACAGTTAAGAACACTGAAGCTTATCTAAGTAACTTGCCTAAGATTTGACAGGTAGTTAAGAGGGACAGATTATTCTTCACTGTAAATTCACTGTTCCATCCATTATTTCACCTGGGAAGTAAGATGAAGAGCATTAAAAAAAAAAGCATAAAAGTATAGACTTATGTATGGACTTTGGGTTATAATTTAATACTACATTATTTACATTGTTGCTCAAATTGTTCCAGCTTTTGCCATTCTAAGTTCATGTTCATTTGACATTCCTTACTTTTTGGCACTAAACAAGATGCTCCACGATCATCTTGTATTTTTCCTGTTCCAGCCAGAAAATCTGTTATTTCTCCAAGGAACTTTGGTTCCTTTCATTGGTTCCAAAATCTGGATGCTGGTTGTAGATTTAGAGTGTGAAGTTTATACTGCAAAATAAACTGAATACCATCTTTTATTTAAAAAAGGAAGCTGAAAGACTGTAAAAAGCTAATTCCATGTTTTTTAACTAGTTCAGTGCTTCCCCATGACCAAGCCAAATGCCCCTGAACAATTTGGGAAATGTAATTGATCTGATATTACCCTGCAAGGAAAAAAAAGTATCACAAGGTTCTGTGACCTCTTGACTCAGACAGATGAGGGTTAAGGGTCTAGTTCTGCCACTTCATTCATTTATCCAATGCCTCTTTAGTGACAGGGTGTGGAGTAGAAAAGAAACTAGTCATGCAAAATCTTTTGGAGGTGAAATCCTGACATCTGAAAGCCTTGTGAAAAACCAGACAGAGGTGGACACTGGAAGGACAAGTGTTGAGCTTTCAAGGAAGAGGAAGGCCTGCAGGGCTGTGACTTTGTGAGCTAGGGGAAGAATTGCTTGAAAATGAAAGTTGGAGAGGTACAGTATGCTCTATAGGATTTTTAGGGTATACTGGCTTTTATTTAGTGTGTAAAAAAGAGCTTTTGAGGGGTTCTAAGTAGAGACATTTGGTTTACGTCAAAAAAAAAAAAAAGATGGGCAACTGTGGAAAATGGATAGTAGGAAGATTCAAGTGAAAGCAGGGAGGCTAGTTGGAGGTGCCTATCACAGGAGTTCAGAGAGTTGGGTACCTGAGACTCGGATGGCCGCAGCGGAAATAAAGATAACTGGATAGATCTGAGATCTTTTTAGAAGGATAAAGTCAAGAGAGGTTGGGGATGTCCTGTATTAGATGTGGATGATGAAGGAAAGGGGAGTAAAGAATACCCTAGGGTTTAAATCTTGAGCATCTCAGGTACAAAAAACTAACAACAAACAAACAAAAAACTAAGCAAGCTTCCTCATTTATAAAATGCAGGTAAGAAAACCAACCAAACTGGATTAAATGTATGGAAGAGTCCCTGTCACTTATAGTTTAATAAATAAAACTTATTTTCACCATATTATTTTTGTAAGCCAAATCCCTTCATATTCTTTATACTGTAAATCACGAACATTTTAAAAGTAGCAAAATGCATTCTACACAGACCTATGCATTTCAGATTACTATATACTTTCCCTAGGAATCATATCCGACTTCAAATGAAAATCCTTGCTCAGCCTTTTGACTAGTTTTGTAACCTAGAACGCTGAATTAGTCTTTCAGTTTCTTTAAAATGGAAATACTAATGTCTACCTCAGAGTTGATAACATTCTTAAAACCTCTTAGTTACCCACTCAACAATCCAATCACGAGAAAGTGGTAAGATAGTTAACCATACAAAGTTTGACCTTCCATTTGACCTTCCAGTGTAGATGTGACGTGTCATATTACAATAGTTAAAAAGATTACAGTGCTTGGAATTAAAAATCTTCCCCACTATCCCAATGCTAAATAATCAAGTTCTACAATCTCCAATACCTATAAGATAACCAGCATGTGCCCAACACTAATTAGGCATGGCAAGTCCTTAAAAATTTAAGAGAGCCCCAAGGCCTGCCGCCATCAACTGCAAATCAGCCATAATCCCTGAGAGAAAAGTTTACAAAAGCCTACTTTCAGAAGTAATGGAATGCAATACATTTTTAATTTCATTTCCTCAAATTTGTAAATATGGAAAAAAAATCCAGGGACCAGCAAATATTCTCGTGAGGGGCAAGGTAATAAAGACAACTGGAATTAAGCAACCAAAAATACCCCTTCTTAGAGCCACCAAGCTTCAGAATTTCACAGAGGGGCTCAAGATTCAGGGTTTTCTAGAAACAGACTTAACCTGTTAAAATATTTTTTGAGTTTTCTACATTCGTTTTCTAAAGAAAGGGGCACTTTTCAGTGATGACCAAATATACAATATCAAGTTGCTAATTTCTAAAATTCTTGGTCATTTCTGAGGTAAAATGAATGCATCTGGATCTCTTTCAGGAGACAGCAACAAAGAGGATAAAAAAGTCAGCGTTTATCCGAGTGCCTTCCATTCCACCCAAGAGGTGGAATAAAAGACTGGTTCCTCAGGAGCGCGGGGAAAAAAGATAACTGATTCTTCATTTCTCAAATCTGCTTCCCAAATTCTTCAAGACCGTCTCAATTTGGACAAATTCAGGGTTTTGTATTTAAAAGTGCCTTTCTTCCTCCCTCCTTCTGACTCCAGGCCTTGAGACTGAGTCACTGGGTAAAGGGAAAAAAGGAGAAACTGAACATTTTTGGTTGGACGTCCCAGCAGAGCCTGGCCCGATGAGGGGGCCCTGCATTTGGCGGGATTGGGTTGGGGGGAACCCTGGAAATCCCGAGGGGTCGGAGGGGTGGCCCTCAGGGCGCGGGCCGGCGGAGGAGGCGGGAGATAACAGCGAGCACGATCTCCCGCGCCCGCCAGGAAGGCTGAGGTGACGAAAACCGGGGGGAACTGACTTCCGACCCGGGGGTGCGGGGCACACGGGGAAACGGGGCACAGAAGCGGGGGTCGGGCCACTGGTCGGAGGCTACGGGCCACCGGCTCGCGGGCCCTGTCAGAGCCGCAGCCCCGGGGTGGGGGAGGGGAAGGAGGGGCGTCTGGCGCCCGGGCCGGCGGGGTGGAGGTCGGTGGCCCTGCGCGAGGAGAGAGGGCCATCGGGGAGGCTGCGACCCGCACCTCCTCGGGAGCAGGCGCCCAGCTACGCGTGCACGGCGGGACCCGGGCCCGCCATCCCGCCTCGGCACCTCTTCCCCTCCCCGGACCCCTGCCTTCTCCCTCCCGGTCCCGGGACCCCCCGCCGCCGCTGCCGCCGCCGGCCGCCCGAGGCCCAGCGACGGGCCCCACGGCCGGATTCGGGAGCGCGTCGGGTCCAGGGCGCTGTCCCCCGTCTTCCCCCCTCACTGGGCACCCCTCCTGGAAGGCGCACCCCGCTCGCACTCTCTCCTCTCACCCACCGTCCAAGGAGCGAGGGCGCCCGGCGGCTGTCAGGACGCCGTAGCTGCAGCGGCAGGAACCGGAGGGCGGCCGTGGGGAACAGCTGCAGGGGCACCGGCTCATGCCAGGGCAAGTGGGTTCCGCCTCAGGTGAGGGAGCTGCGCCCGCGGCAGAGAAACGGGCCACCCGCTTCTCAGCTCTAGCTTCTAAAAGGCGCCAGCTGGTACTTTTAAAATCTTTGAATTTGGTGCCCAAATCCGCACGGCCCAATGGGGCGCGCCGCTCGCACGCGCGCTCCAATGGGAAGGCGGCGGGAGGGGGTGCCCTCACCCACGCCCAATTGGAGGCTGCCGAGGCGGGGCCGGGCCGCCAGGCCCAACCTCCTTCTTCCCCGGCGGCTCCGCGCGTCCGGAAAGATGCTGAGGCAGGGGGCGGGACCTCGGAGCGCAGGGAGACCACTGCCGGGCCGCACGTGGAAGGAGCCTACCACGCATGCGCGCTCCCGCCACGCTTCCCTTCGGCGTCTGGAGAACGGGCCTCCTGCGGATCCTAATTTCATCCTGAAGGCAGCTTCGGCTTCTGTCTGAAGATCTCCGCTGGGTCGAAAGGGTAGCCGACTTTCTCCGGTCATCTCACAAGCGGGAGTTTGGTGAGTAGCCACTGTGGTCGTTCGGGAATGCAGACTTTCCGGAAGAGGAGCCCTCCCCCAGCCCTACTTAGCCCGCCTCTCTAGGATTTAGGCGCGCTCCTCTCTCCTCCTAGTTTCGCCCCACCCCCGGCTCAGCGCTTTCGCGCAGGCGCTTGTGGCGGGCGGTAGCTGTGCTGTTGGCGGGTTGGCGCTTGCGCGCTGGGGTCACCCGCGTTTCTGTTTGGGGGGCGGAGAGCTTGGGGCCGCGGTGGGTGGGGCCGCGTCCCTCCCGGCACATGGAGCTGGTGCCGCTGACGTGGTGCGGGAGACCTGGGCCCGCATCTCCCAGGAGCCTTCCGGAGGGGTTGAGGCTGGGACAGTCACTTCTTGTAAGCGTGTTGTTATTTTCAACCACTGTTCCCCCGCCACCACTGCTTTGTTACGGACGTTTAGCTTATTAAATCTACTGTACTCGCACACAGTAGTCCTTGCTCTAGAATGAATGAATCAATCAGTCATCCTGCCCTGGGAGTTCCCATTTCCACACCCTGGAACCGAAGGCTCCTGGCCTGATTTTCTAGTGATGGAGGAAACGGAGGAAGTATTAATTGTTAAGTCTTCTATGACAAGTTGTACCGTACAGTTTGTCATGCTGAACTTTTCACTCTTTGAATGTGTACTTTAAGTGGTGATGTTGCAGTCCCCTGACCCAGCTTTTGGTCACAACACAGTGACGCTACAGGAGGTGAGCTCCCCAGAGTCCGAATCCCTGTCTTTGGCAGTTTTCCCTCTTTCTTTTGCTTTTCTGCAGCCCCGGGGAGAGTTAATAGTTGGCTTGTGGTAAGCGCTCAAATTGTGGTCAAGTCCTGCGTGAAGCAGGGCCGGGATCAGGATGAATCATGCAAGTGCTGAGTGGATCCTGTCTTTAGGTAAAATTTTCGATAGTTCATGTTTTTTTGAGTTTATTTTTCAGAATGTTGCATTAAATTAGTATTTTTCTGGGTTGCTGAAATTTTTGGCATCCCCTTAAATTTTTGCACCTGAGTCATGTCTCTCACCTGGCCCTGGTGCTAGGTCCTGCAGACATAGGGTTGAAAAGACAAAAAGTCCTGTTCTTCAGGGAGTTTACTTTCTAATGGGAAAGAAATTCGCAATTAACAATTTCATTGAATGAAAGAGGAATATAAAACAACATAAGGGGGTAGAGAATGGGCAGTAGGGGCAGGGTTAAGGACTTTGGGTGGTCAGGAAGGTTTCTGAGGCTTTGGACCAAGATCCGAATGTTCAGCTGGCAATGCAGAGATCTGCATAGTAAGCAGAGGAAAGAGACTGAAGGCGCATAGCTTCTTCCAGGGCTAGAAGGAAGTCTAGAGCCTACAGAGCAAAAGACTGTAGGAGGTGAGGTCAGATAGGTAGAAGCCAGATCCTGTAGGACTTGGTTAACTGTTGGAGGAATGTTAGCAAGAGAGTGATTTGTTGAATGAATATTAAAGCGATGGTAGCTTTTTTATCTACTAGGCACTTTGTAAAATTAGCCTTTAATTCTCCCAGTAACCTTAGGGTTTTCATTTTCTGATTGTGCTTAAAAGTGTAAGTTCATTCCCACAGAACCACCAGTCTTAGGATAAGTCCACATACTTTCCTCTTTCCTCTGTGTTATACTGAGGAGTAATAGTACTTGTGGGAGGCTTGATTGCTTATAAGTACGTTTTCATATTACTTTCCCATTTGACCTCAGAGATCATCTTTATTCACCTTTTTTATTTTTAGATGCAAATATGTGAAATTTGAGGGGAGGGGGGTTCTCATTAAATTAATTGAGCACCTGGACTACAACCTTTGAATCTTAACCACAGCTTAAAAGGTATGCTCCAGCAGTTATTTTTAAAATTTATTTTCAGAAAAAGGCTAAGATATTGGAAAAACTAAAATTACCATTGTAATATAAGGTAATATAAAGAGTGAAGCATGTTTTATTGCATGCTGGAATAGTTTGTTAGTCTTTTTCTTTAATATTGATTTTAACTTTTAGAGCTTTAATTATGTTGAAATATTATTCTTAACTGAGAGTTAACTTTTAACTTTTTCAGTAGGTTCATGAGTGCCTGTTAGTTTCATTTTTAGTGAGAAATTTAGAAAGGGCTATTCTGAATTTTACTCGATGTCAACAGATATATGTACCTCTTTTTTCCTACAAATCAGTATCAATCAGAATTGCTGAGTTTTTAGGTGCAAAATGAAGCGCAGAGAGAATTGCCCTTATTCTCACCAAATCCTTATTGCAGATCTACAGCATGCAAGACATCTTGGAAATGTCTGGAAATAATTGGGATGTGGTACCTGCCCCTTTGCTTCCTATCTGGGCCAGCCACCTAATAGACATAGATGCTTAGTAAATAATCTTTGAATAAAAAGCATCATGAGTACAGGGGGGAGGAGATAAGGTGTACAAAATACAGCTGTGAACACTGGATGAGTCAAATATGTCTAGTTACCGTGGGAATTTTTATAGAACAGCGGAGTTACTGCTGTATGCCAGGATGAGATTACTCTGTAGGACAGGGTTTCTCAACCTCAGCACTACTGACATTTTGGGCCAGAGAATTCTTTGCTGTGGAGGCTATGCTGTGCATTGTAGGGTGTGTAGCAGCAGCCTTAACCTCTAATTCCCCCTGCCCCCCCACCCCAAGTTGTGATAACTGTCTCCAAACATAGAGACGTATCCCCTGGGGAGTGAGGTTGCCTCTAGACGTGAACCTTTGCTGTTGGGGATGTCTTTTAAGGGAATGGGGAGGAGAGTGGCCTTCCCTGGCATAGGAACGAAATGGGGGCAAGCTTAAGTGCAGGAGGGTTTATCAAGAAAAATTAATTTGATGTGACATAAAGGGGTGGTATGTAAAGTGGGCTAATACGAAAGGATGCTGGTAGGGATACGGATGTGCTGCGTGCATACTTCAGAGTTGGAGTTTTATTTGGGAGGCAGTGGGAACCTATTAAGTTGTTGAGTAGAAGGGTGACAAGATCAGAGCCTTGCATTTTAGGAAGATGAATCTGGCAGTTATGTATGTGTGACCTGAATGAGAGTTAGGATGCAGGGGACTATTAAAGTAGTCCAGGAGAAGCAATTGTGGACCATAGTGGTGGTAACGGAATCAGTGAAGTTTAGGGTATTTAGGAGAGTAGGCGTTACAGTAAACTGCATATAAGGAAGAGGAATCGACGATGACTACAATTTAATTTTGAGAGAGGGAGAATGGTAGTGCCGTGAAAGAAACTGAGATCACACAACGAGAAACGGGTTATAGAGGAATATGACGTTTCATTTTAGACATAGTGATTTTTTATTTATACGTCTTTAAAATTTCCATTCTGGCTGAATGAGTTTTGATTAACTGATGTTGTAGGCCGTTTTGAAATGAAGTTCAGTTTTGGTTCTTCCTGAACAATACACCAGATTTCTAGACAAATAATTTTAGATCTAACTGCCTTTTAGACATCTTTTTAGTGCCATGAAGTTAGGTGTTGAAGAGACAAGAATGAAGAAAACAGTTTTGTCCACTAATGAAATGATGTGAAAGGGTTAATAATACATTCCATTTCCTGACCACCCTTTCCCTTTTCCTTATTACGCACACAAACCTGAGACAGGAGTAACCCAGTGAGTTTACTGCCTTGCCATAAGTGTTTTCATACTGTTGTGTAAAGGGCTGTGGAATACTAATGAAGAGCAGTTGACTGCATAGTGCAAAAGTTCCCTTTGGGTTGGACCTTGAAGTCTGTAGAGGTAATTGTGTGTTTTAGGAAGAGAGGGCAGGGAAGGCAAAGGCAGGTGGGAGCGACATTGGGTGCTTTATAATTCAGGTAGCTGTGTAGATGCATAGTTTGTGCAAACAGCTACAAAGTTCTAAGGCCCTTAAAATGTTAGACGTAGGGTTCTAGTAAGCTTCACGCCAAAATTGTTGCTCTATTCTTACCTTTTGCTGGGTTCCAAAAATTACATTTGATCATACAGGAATAACTAATTTAGATTAGTGAAGTGTAAGCCAATGTCAGTTCACAGACCAGAATTTGTCAGTTACTCCACAGGTGTTCATAAGGCACATGGTGATACATATCTTAAAGTTATATTGTTAACATTACCAAAGTATTATGATAATTTTTTTCTAACCAACTGTGATGTTCTAATGGGCAGGAAGTTTGAAAATTCACGGAAGGTTCTTTCCCACCTTCATTAGTACAGCTCTCACACTTTCTTTTCCTGTGGTGCAGAGAGGGAGGGACTGGAGAGGGATGGGGACAGAATGAGTAGACTTTTGGCTCTCCCTTGTTCACAGAATGAAATACAACATTCGAGACCTTTCATAATCTCAGTGCAACTTTTCTAATTATTACCTGTTAGAGGAGGTAAAGAGAAATTGAATAACAGTATACTGTAATATTTAATAACCTGTAGCTGTGTCCCTTTCATTCAAAAAGGAAACCAAAAGACCCAAGGGGAAAGTGGTAAATCTGGGAGACACAGGCTTGCATTGAGCCTTGTGCTCAGTGATGATGACTGCTGAATGACGCGTCTTGCTGTATTCTTGAGTTGCTTAGGTCACTAAGAGGGGCATTCATCTGCTGTTCCTGTGAAGGCAGAACAGAATGGCTTTCGTGAGCAGAACATTACAGGGTAGAGGGATACTCTTCAAATTAAAATTCTCTGATGTATCTGATAACCTTTGGCCAGCTTAAATTCTTAACTGTCTTTAATGGTTTTTCTACACCTCCCTTTTAGAGCAATAAGGTGAGAAATTATCAATATAAAATTACTCTGAAATTTAGCACA